AGCGGCACCTCGGGCATCGTCAACGTTTGGTCGACGAGTTCGAGCAGATATCTGATTTGAAGCTCCACGTCGCCAAGACGGTTCTTGTGCCGACGGACCCGTTGGACGCCGACCAGGTGAGGGGGCTCCTTCGCGAATGTGCGCCCGGCTGGAGCGGAGTCGTCACTGCTGCGGCGGCCAAGTATCTCGGCGTGCACTTGGGGCATTGGCGACAGCAGCTGTCCTGGGCAGCCCCCCTCGTGAAATATGCGTCTCGTGCCGCCCAGTGGGGCAAGCTCGGCGTTGGTCCCCTTCTGAGTCTCAAAGCGTGCTGGGTGTACATCGCCTCGGTGCTGATGTTCGTCGGCCAGCTCGAATGCCCGCCCCCGACGCAGCAGAGAGATGTCGCCGCGGCATGCCAAAGCCTCCTGCCTGGGCCCATGGGCTGGGCGGCGCCGGAGGCGCTGCGCGAACTCACATCCATCGGATTCCCCGCGGGCCTCCTGGACCTGCAGGCTGCGACGTGCGCTGCGAAGGTGCGAGTGGTGCAATGCGAAGCCGGCGGGGACCTCCGCATCCTGCCGAAGGCCCAGGCCGTGAGACAGCTTACCGGCCACACCAATGACATCACGCTCGCCCGCCCTGGTTGGCTTCGCGCGTGGCGGGACCGCAGTTTTTTTTTGCCGCCTCGGTGACGCGGCGGAACAGGTGCAGTTGGCACACGACGCTGCGCCAGGAGACGAACGCTGGGGGCAGCGGGCGGGCTGGCAGGCTTTCGCCACCGCGCGCTTGGTGAACCGCGGGGGCGTGCCAGGGGAGCACGCCCGTTCATTTCTTCGCCGCAACCTCGCACATTGGAAGCTGCAGCTCCTGCCGAGGCTTCGCGTTGAGCACGCCGTGCCCGCGCTGCAAGTGGCGGGGCGTAGATGCAGTCCGAAGGTCTGAGCAGCGGTGCTGCGGCGGTGGTGCAACGGGTGGTGCACCAGCTCGCGGTTTGGAGGGCAAGGGCCGTGCCGCTTTGGTTGCGGGCGCGTCGACGATGCCATCGCCCGCGTGGCTTTCTGCCCTGTCGTGCGGCGGTTGTGGGGCGTGCGTCTTCATGCCGGAGGTCTGGCGCTTGATTTCTTTCTCCACCTCGGGGCGCCCGACCGCCTCTTGAATGGCGCCCCCGAGTGGGCAGAAGCAGTGCATGCTCCTTACCGCGTCTACAATGCACGGCGCCTGGGGCGCATCGCTGTTACGGACCTCGACGGCGCGCACTACGAGTGCCTCCGCGAGGCACGTCGAGCCCAGACGTACGCCGACGAGACGTGACGCCCAGCTCGTGCAGAAAATGTCAGGGCCGAGAGGCCTGGGCAATATTCGTTTCAGGTAGCTCGAACAGGTGCTGATTTTTACGCACGTTTTTTTGTATGCAGGCGACGGCCGCCCGGATCGTTACGGCGTGTGCGTTGGTTTTGGACGTGCCGGCCTATCCTCGATTGGTGGCGGGTTCCCGAGTTTGCCCCCTTCCTCCTTTTCTCTTCCCCCTGCCGCCTCTCGCCTCCCTTCGGCGGAACAAATGAGCCACACCTTGTTGGGAGAGTGTTCTCCAAAGTATTGGCGGAAAAGGCGCCACGGGCGTCGATGTCCGCTTGGGGAGGGGGGCGCGATTTCTCCGCATGAGGCGGTGCAGGCAGTTTGTGGCGGGGCGCTGGGCGGGCCACTTGTTGATGAAACTTGTGGCGCCCAGCCCGTGCCAGATGCGGTCGTCGGGCCGCCCTGGCGTGACGGGCGGCTCGCGCTGTAGGCGGCCGCGGCCCCGCCGAGATGCGACGCCAGACTCCCGATGCAGCGGCGGCGGCATTCAGGCGTGCAGGCTCTCTCTCTCTTTCTCTCCCTCTCTTTCTCTCTTGTGTTTCTATGTTTGGTTGCATGTATTGTATCGCCATCTTCTTCGTGCAGCGCAATTTGCACGTGGGGCCAGTTTGCTTGATGGCCGTATTCTGACAGGTTTTGTCCGCCATTCGCTGATGGATCAGCCGTCCCAGGATGGAGCGGTGAGTTCCCAATCCTCCATTTTCTCCTTCATATCCGTGTGCGTCCTCTCTCCCATCTCTCTCTCTCTCTCTCTCTCTCTCTCTCCTCGAACTTGTGTCTGGATGTTGAGTTTACGAGGTCGTTCACGGAGCTCGGGCTCATACAGTTTTGTAGCTGTGCGGCTTGCCAGTGTCCCGATTCCCTGAGTGCGCGCAACGGCTTGCCTATCGCAGGTTGGCCTGAGCGTTGCTCCAGGGTTTTGGTCTGCTCCTCTGCATCTCTCCCCCTCTTCCTCCTCCTTCTCCTCCTGTTCCTCCTCGTCCCCCTCCTCCTCCCCCGTGAATGTGGTGACGTCTGCCCTGTCGGCCATTTTACTTTATTTGAGGCCTTTGACGTTGGCGTTGACTCTGTAGGGTAATCCACAGGTTCCGCCGCAACCGCTATTTCTGCCTGGCGTGATTAGGCTGTGAAGACAAGCGCTCGAGCGGACTTTTTTTTGGTTGTTGTTTTTTTGGGGGTAGACGTATACATTTATACAGATTTACAGATGTATGATTATTATTAAATACACACAATTATATTATATTGGTGTCCCCCCCAATGCGGCCCGTCAACAGCATAAGACATGATGCTGCTGCTGATGATGATGATGATGATGATGATGATGATGCTGATGGCGATGATACTGGTGATAATGATGATGTTGTTGTAGCTGCTCGTGATGATGGTGATGCTGGTGGTGATGATGGTGATGCTGCTGCTGATGATTATGATGCTGTCGATGATGATGGTGTTTATGATGATGATGATGATGATGATGATGATGATGATGATGATGATGCTGATGATGATGATGATGATGATGATGATTATGATAATGGTGATGATGATGATGATGCTGATGATGCTGATGATGTTGATGATGCTGATGGTGATGATGATGGTGTTGCTCATGGTGGCGATGACGATGACGAAGACGATGATGATGCTGATGCTGATGATGATGATAATCATGGTCATGATGATGGTGCTGATGATGACGGCGATGGCGGTGACGCTGACGACGAGGATGAGGATGATGCGAATGAGGAGGAAGGGGAGGGAAGGGAGAGGAGGAGGAGGAGGAGGCGGGAACGAGTAACGCGTCGAAGAGGAATCCCTTTCTCGCTTGTTCGCGCCTGGAGTCCGTGCAGCATGGCACTGGTGCATCGGGGCACGGGGAGGATGTGGAGGAGGATGTGGACCAGAAGGAACGTGATCGAGGATATTAGGATACACATGATGAGGTCGATGATTAGCAGGAAGAGGGGGAGGAGACAGAGGCATGGCAAGCAGACAAGGAGAGGACGAGGAGGAGGAGGAGGAGGAAAAGGAGGAGGACGCGGAGGACGAAGATCAGGAGGAGGATGACGAGGATGAAGGGGGAGGAGGATCAGGAGGAGGAGGAGGAGTAGGAGGGAAGAGGGGCAGGGGCAGGAGTAGTATACCACTTATGATGCTGCTGCTGATGATGCTGCTAATGATGATAATGATGGTGATGATACTGATGATGATGCTGGTGATGACGATGATGCTGATGATGCTGCTGATGATGACGATTATGGTTGTGATGATGATGCTGCTAATGATGACGATGCCGATGACGGTGATGGTGATGATGATGCCGCTGCTGATGATGATGGCGACGAGGAGGAGGAGAAGGAGGAGGAGGAGGCGGAGGCGGAGGAGGATAAGGAGGAGGAGGAGGAGGAGGAGCAAGAGGAGGAGGCCTGCTCCTGCCCTTGCGTGGGTTGCCTCCGCCTCCTGCCCCTGGACCAGTGCTGGGGTGCCTCTGACAAGCATTTAGAAGGTACTGCAGCCGTGGGGACGCGAGGATTGCTGGAGGCCCAGGCAGAGTCAACGACCGCAACTTTTGTTCCTCGAACTTTCTGTTTTTTTTCCCAACCATCCTGTGGTGTTGGGTCCTCGTTTTGAAGAGACAGCGCCCTGCGTTCTCACTCCTCGTCCTCCCGCTCCTCCCTCTCTTCCCTCCTCCCCCTCCTTGCCTTTGACCTCCGCATATCTTGGTGGCCTCCGCATATCTTTGTTTCGGCACACCCCTCCCATGCTTCGTGGCCCCACAGTGAGCTCCACCGAAGGCCCAAATGCCAGCGTTCGCATGCGCCCGCCGCGCCCATGTCGGCACACCCCTCACACGTTTCGCGGCCCTATAGGGAGCTCCACGGAAGGCCCCAGTGGCTGCGCTTGCATGCGCCCGCCGCACCCATTTCGACACACCCCTCACACGTTTCGTGGCCCCGTATGGGGGCTCCATCGAGGGCCCCAGTGGGTGCGTTCGCGTGCGCCCGCCGCACCCTTTTCGGCACACCCTCACACGCTTTGCGACCCCATAGGGGGCTTCACTGCAGGCCCCAGTGGCTACGTTCGCATGTGCCCGCCGCACCCACTTCGGCACACCCTCACACGTTTGGTGGCCCCACAGGGAGCTCCACCGACGGACCCAGTGGCTGCGTTCGCATGCGCCCGCGGCACCCATATTGGCACACCCGTCACACGCTTCGTGGCCCCATAGGGAACTCCACCGAAGGCTCCAATGGCTGCGTTCGCATGCGCCCGCCGCGCCCATTTCGCCACATACCTCACACGTTTTTTGGCCCCATAGGGAGCAGGTTCACCGAAGGCCCCAGTGGCTGCGTTCGCGTGCGCCCGCCGCACCCATCCCCGCACACCTCTCACACGCTTCCTGGCCCAATAGGGACTCACACATGCAGATGGTTGAGTCCTTCGCCAGCCAATTTTTTGCTCTTTTTCCTCCTCCCTACCTTCCTCCTCCTCATCCTCATTCCGTCCTCCTCCTCCTCCTCCTCCTCCTCTGCCTCATCCTCCTTCTCTTCCTCCTCCTCCTCCTCTACCTCCCCCTGCCCCTTCTTCGCACCCGGTTCTTTCTCATCTTCCGTCTCCTCCTTCTTCTCCCCTCTCTCGTGCCGGGTGTTCCCAGGGAGGACGGCGGATCCATCGCGACCTGAAGCCTGAGAACATTCTCATGTGCGACAATAGTGTGGCCAAGCTGGCCGATTTCGGGTGGTGCGCGGAGCGCAGAGACCCGAAGGAGGCTCGAGGATGGAGGTATTTGGAATGTTTCCGAGAGTTCTTTAGACCTTAGGAAGCCTCAGGACTTCTGGAGGCCTCCAGAGTCGTCCTCCTCCCTCCCCGCCGCCCGACTGGGGCCGGAGTGGATGGGGTCGAGGGATCGCAACTGCATCGCTGGTGCGTCTGTGATGCGGCGCGATCCGGAGCACGATCTCATCTTTCCTTTCCCCTTTCCTTGCACTCTTTCTCATCTTCCCTCCGCCTCCCTCCTCCCCTGCTTCCTCGCCGTTGGTTCCCCCACCTCCTTCCTTCCTCACCCCGGGTGGTTGGCCGGGGCCGCGGTGCTCTTGCCGCTGGGCAGGGCGGCATATAGATACTGCCAGAGCCGCTTTTTCGAGCACAGTGCTCCAAGCTTGCGGCCCCTATGGCAGTGGCCCCAGGCTGCGCTGCTGCTCCTGCGGTTCCCTTCCGTCCCTCCCTCACCCTCACCCTCCTCCCCTCCTCTCCCTCCCTGCTTCCTTCCCCCCTCCGCCGTTCCGCCCTTCACCCCCACCCCGCCCCCCTCCCCTCCTCCCGCGCTCCGCGGCGGCGGGCGATGCGGCGGGGCTGGCGGGCGTGGCGAGGGCCTCTTCGCAGGTGCGCAGAGATAGACGAGAGGGGGGAGCGGAACACCTTCTGCGGCACGTGGGACTACCTGTCCCCCGAGATGGTCAACAACGAGCCCCACGACCACACGGTGGACGTCTGGGCCGTGGGAGTGCTGCTCTACGAGATGCTGACCGTGACGGGAGCCAGAACTGCACCCCACCTCCACGGGGGGTGGGAGGGGCTGGGAGGGCGGAGTGGGCAGGGCAGGGGGGGGGGGGGGGCAGGGCTTGGGCTCTGCCTCGCCTCTCGTGGTGAGGCCACAGCCCCGGACGGAACGTATGCAGAGCTCGCTGGCGTCCTCCTTCGTATGGGGCCAGCTGTTGAAGCGGTGGCTCACTGAGCGCTGGCACCTGGAAACGGGGAGCGCGGGGGGGAGGCGACGGGGACATGCTCAGCTTGAGGCGGACGGGGACCATCTGCTTCTGCTGTTGCTGCTGCCGCTCCGGCTCTTGCTCCCGCTCCCGCTCCCGTTTCATTGTCTGTTCCTCTTTTCTTCCTCTTCTTCCGTCTCCTTCTCCTTTTCTAATCCTCTTCCTCCCTCCTCCGCCCTCCCTGCTCGTCCCTCTGCCTCCTTATCCTCGTCATCCCTCCTCCCCTCCCACCCCTCCTCCTCCTCCTTCTCCTCTCCCTCCTCCTCCTCCTCCTCCTCCTCCTCCTCCCTTCTCCTTCTCCTTCTCCTTCTCCTCCCTCCTCCTCCTCCTCCTCCTCCTCCTCCTCCTCCTCCTCCTCCTCCTCCTCCTCCTCCTCCTCCTCCTCCAGGCGAGGGCGCCGTTCGCAGCCGCTAGCCAGATGAAGACCCTGATGAGGATCTCCGGGGTGGACCTCCAGCCGCCCAGCCACGTCCCCAGCGATGCCAAGGACGCGGAAGAGGATAATGAGGATGAGGAGGAGAAGGATGATGATTAGAGTAAACGCAGAGTGCATCAACGACGTTGCAATCCACCTTTCCGTCCCGAGTCTCACCCTATATGTCCCGACAGGCATTCCCTTTCGCTACGGTCGGCGCCCTCTTGAAAGACGAGCTCTCCATGAGCCTGTCATTCAGGCGAGAGCCCCATTTCGGAAAGGAGTTGCCTTGCATCTGTGCCCGACTGCCAACTTTGCGCTTCGGTGCTGAATGGGGGTATCAAACGATACTTCCATGTTCAAACTGAGCCGCCGTCCATCCGTGCAACAGGTGTGCCTTTAACACGACTGTGTGCGGCGCCCAGGCGAACACCACATGTTGAAGTCACCCGCCACCCGTCCAACTGTCGAGGGCTTTTAAGACGCTTTCGCGTAGCGCTAAAGCGAGAGCCGCATTTTGACCCCCCCTACAGCATCCTCGCTGCTGTTGGGAGCTTAAGGACGACCTTGCGCGGCGCTAAGGTGAGAGCCATAGCTTGAAAACCATCCGCCCTCCTTACTTCGGACAGCCTGGGCAACCTTACCAACACGTTTGGTGGTGCGACAAGGAGGAGCAATAGAACGAGAAGGAGGAGGAGGAGGAGGAGGAGGAGGAGGAGGAGGAGGAG